TGAGATAGTTGTCTTTCTTTGTGGAGCAAGGCTTTACGTGGCCGCCCTGTGGGGTAGCTGTGGTTCTGTAGCAGCTCTTCCTGCTGTGTGGCCGCGTCATTGGGTGTCGGCGGTCCATTGATGCGCAACGTCATCCCGCACAAGGGGCGGGGCGATGAAGAGCACTGATGTTCCGGGGGGCGGAGCCGGATGTAGGCAGTGGGTGCAACGTGTCCGGCATGATGTTTGGTGCCAGTTCCATGCGCGGCCCCCTCTCTTGCCGATTCACAGGCTTGTCAATGCCCCGGGATTGGATAGGATTCTCTTTTACTTGGCATTTTCTTCTTCATTTATGATATGGACACAACTTTGGATAAAAGTAGATCTAATTGGTCCCCTAATGTAGGTGACTTAAGTTGATGTACTGAATAAGTCTACCTGCTGTCAAGGTCCTACCTTTCCTCAGAGTTGGTGCTGCTCCATGTGCTGGCATCCATCTTAGGTTTCTGCAAAGCATGGTGGGAGCCTTTTATGCTTTCAGGTCTCTGCGGTCCATCCCCCAGAGGGGTGTGGTTGATCACATTAAAGCCTGTTGTCTGCACTTGCTCTTTGCATTCGTGTCCTGTATGATTGTGTTGCAGCAAGCTCTGGTTCTACTCTCGTTGTTCTCCTGGAAACTGACTTGGCTTTGACTAAGACTATTCTCTGCCTTATCCCTATATATGACCTCCCGTTGCTGAACCCGGCTCGTGACCTGTTTATTCTTGCCTACCGTCTTGTACTGTCTGTCCCGCTGTTATCGACCCAGCCTGTCTGACTACGCTATCGTTTCCCACCAGCTATACGCCACTGGCGGCGGCCATTACCGCAGCTGGGGTTACTCGGGGGCCGCGACCTGGTCCCTGGCTGCGTCAAGTCCATCCCCACCATCAGGGGCCCTGGTGAAAGGCTGCCTCGGGCTTAGACTCCGCGCCCTGAGGGACTCCGGTCTGTGGGTGGTGGCTGTCGTCAGTCGGTGCATGACCCTACCATTAGGCCTGCCCGTCCATTCCACCGCTCCTGCCCTGACACCGGCTTTATGGTTGAACTGGATGGACTTTTGTCTTTTTTCAGCCAGACTAACTATGTAACTATGCTAGTTTCACCAATGTAGGTGACCTATGTTGATTGGTCTATTTGAACTTGTTAGTAAATCCCAGTCCTTAAGAAACTAGTGGAAAGTATGGGGAAACAACATTGATGTCTGTTTATATGGATGATACATACTTGAATATTGAAACCGTATATTTAATTTTTATTACAGAACTTGGCAGACTATTCCTTAAAAACAGGCGGAGCTTCCTGTGAGACAATTTTGTGCCTGCCTACATCTGTGGGACAAATATCCTTGAGAATATACAGAACTAGAAAAGCTACAATTTCTGGTGAAATTGTGTGAAGTGTTCTTGCCTCCACCAGTAGTCTACAACTGGAGTGGGCGGAGTAACTGTGGGTTGGAGTGGCTGGAGTAACTGTTGTGTGGTTGGAGTGGCTGGAGTAACTGTGAAAAGGTTGGAGTGGGCAGAGTAACTTTATGGAGTGGGCAGAGTAACTGTGTGGAGTGTTTGGAGTAAAGATAGTAAACATTACACTAACCAATTGATTGATCAAATTTAAAAAGTGCACATGGCAAGCTTGATAGAGTGAGAAATGCATTTCAACTTTTAAAAACGAAGTATCGGCGTTTTTGTGGTGAAATTGGTCCCATAGGAATGAATGGCGGAATGTTCAAAACTAGAGTGGGACAAAAGTTAGAGTGGAGTTTCAATGAATGTCAATGGGCGGTGTGAGTTGCAAACAAATGGTCATATTGTGAAAACTATCAAGATTTGTGTAGGTGGGCTTGAAAATGAGGGAGTGATGGCAGTTTAGAAATCATGTCCTGATTTTTCAGCTCACACTCTAGCTTTTGTCAGCTCCCACTCTAGTTTTGAACATTCCGCCATTCATTAGTATGGGACCAATTTCACCACAAAAACGCCGATATTTTGTGAACCATTCGGCGAAACGTTCCACAAAGTAATAGCGCACCAATCGGGAACAATCCGCACGGTTCGGTATATTACGGTCTATGTAGTGTAAAAACTGTGGGAGGAGTTAGGGTGGTAAATTTGGCTATAATAATAAGAATATATATGTGAGATAACAGTAAGTGGTTGCCATGCAAGAACACTTAATTAAAAAATCTTTTTGGTGGGTGCTTTACAAGACCCATTAGATACAGTGGGGCAAAAAAGTATTTAGTCAGCCACCAATTGTGCAAGTTCTCCCACTTAAAAAGATGAGAGAGGCCTGTAATTGGCATCATAGGTAGACCTCAACTATGAGAGACAAAATGAGAAACAAAATCCAGACAATCACATTGGCTGATTTGGAAAGAATTTATTTGCAAATTATGGTGGAAAATAAGTATTTGGTCACCTACAAACAAGCAAGATTTCTGGCTCTCACAGACCTGTACCTTCTTCTTTAAGAGGCTCCTCTGTCCTGCACTCATTACCTGTATCAATGGCACCTGTTTGAACTTGTTATCAGTATAAAAGACACCTGTCCACAACCTCAAACAGTCACACTCCAAACTCCACTATGGTGAAGACCAAAAGAGCTGTCGAAGGACACCAGAAACAAAATTGTAGACCTGCACCAGGCTGGAAAGACTGAATCTGCAATAGGCAGCTTGGTGTGAACAAATCAACTGTGGGAGCAATAACTAGAAAATGGAAGACATACAAGACCACTGATAATCTGCCTCGATCTGCGGCTCCACGCAAGATCTCACCCCATGGGGTCAAAATGATCACAAGAACGGTGAGCAAAAATCCCAGGACCACACGGGGGGGGGGGGGGTGGGGGACCTAGTGATTGACCTGCAGAGAGCTGGGACCAACATAACAAAGGCTACCATCAGTAACACACTACGCCGCCAGGGACTCAGATCCTGCAGTGCCAGACATGTCCCCCTGCTTAAGCCAGTACATGTCCGGGCCTGTCTGAAGTTTGCTAGAGAGCATTTGGATGATCCAGAAGAGGATTGGGAGAATGTCATATGGTCAGATGAAACCAAAATAGAACTGTTTGGTAGAAACACAACTCGTCGCGTTTGGAGGAGAGAGAATGTTGAGTTGCATCCAAAGAACACCATACCTACTGTGAAGCATGGGGGTGGCAACATCATGCTTTGGGGCTGTTTCTCCGCAAAGGGACCAGGACGACTGATCCATGTACAGGACAGAATGAATGGGGCCATGTATCGTGAGATTTTGAATGCAAACCTCCTTCCATCAGCAAGGGCATTGAAGATGAAACGTGGCTGGGTCTTCCAACATGACAATGATCCCATACATACCACCCGGGCAACGAAGGAGTGGCTTCGTAAGAACCATTTCAAGGTCCTGGAGTGGCCTAGCCAGTCTCCGGATCTCAACCCCATAGAAAACCTTTGGAGGGAGTTGAAAGTCCGTGTTGCCCAGCGACAGCCCCAAAACATCACTGCTCTAGAGGAGATCTGCATGGAGGAATGGGCCAACATACCAGCAACAGTGTGTGCCAACCTTGTGAAGACTTACAGGAAACGTTTGACCTCTGTCATTGCCAACAAAGGATATATAACAAAGTATTGAGATGAACTTTTGATATTGACCAAATACTTATTTTCCACCATAATTTGCAAATAAATTCTTTCCAAATCAGCCAATGTGATTGTCTGGATTTTTTTTTTTAATTTTGTCTCTCATAGTTGAGGTCTACCTATGATGCCAATTACAGGCCTCTCTCATCTTTTTAAGTGGGAGAACTTGCACAATTGGCGGCTGACTACTTTTTTGCCCCACTGTATATCTTTATTAACAATATATGTTTCTTCCTATAGTATGGACCAATAGGTTTTTATGTTCCCCAATCTTTTTACCAATGTCTAGGTGACCTCAGTGCTCAGCCAGGGGAGGGGCGCCGACTGACTTGTAGCCACCGAAGTGTCTATCAGGGAGTGGTAACAATCCATTTAGGTTTTATCTTATAGCTGACGGTTATTTTGATCAGACTCATTAGTCATGTGTGTAATTGATATCTATATGTATACAAAGAAGATATGTTGCTTTGTTCCAATTACATTGTATATGTTTTAAACAAATGTATTTTTTGATCTCTTAGATGTTTCCATCCTTCTGCAGAGTTTTCTTTTCCCTGAGGAAAGAGTTAATTTACTCTGAAACGTGTTGGATTTGCACAATAAACTCTGTAAATTGTCAATATGATGCAATGGTGATGTAATATACCAGCACTTTCATACTACTCTAAATGTCTGACCTTTTTTAATGTGATACAAAATAAAGAGCGATGTGAACATTTTAAATTTAAGTACTGGTGCTTTTAAAGTCTTAGTGGGGATTTTTTCTGTGTTTTTGCAATATTCAGGGATGTAGACCCATATCAGGCATTACCTCATTACTATTTAAGAGCTAGGGTCAAGGGTCATGATCAGAGGCAAAGGTCAAGGTCAGCGGTCTACTGGTTTTCTAGGTAGGACTTTTTTTTTTTTTTTTTTAATATAGTTTAGGATCAGTGTGTTTTAGGTAGTATAAAAAAAAATATCAAAATGTGCACTTCTGTGGTATTGCTGCGGCCGTCAGGAACAGAAAAACTTATTTCAGTTTGCTCTTTGGTGGTAGGTTATGGTAACAGTAAGAAATACACAACTACATTTTTTTAATAAATTATTTTTTTTTTCATTGTGTCAGTTTTCTTAAAACGAAAAAAACAAAAAGCAAATCTGGAGATATCCATTACTATTTACCATCAAATGAAAGCCTAATTTGTCCTGAATAAAACAAAGCACAATTCATCTGACTACACAGAGTAGTTGGGATGTATAGTTCTGTTTTACCTTCATCATGAAGGGGTTAACTAAACCACAAAAGGCAACTAAAAGGCTGCTAAAAAGCACTTTTCTTGATGTACATTATAATACTTTAATGTTTTCTTACCTCTTTTTGTTTCCCAACAAATCTTACTTTCCTGTAGTCCTTTTCCTCATATACCTGAAAATAAAGAATATTTATTTAAAACCAAGCGTTCTTTAAACCTGCAAAACATATAATAAAATGATATATAAAACAAAGCATAAATATAAAAGATAGTACTGAACAAACCCAAATAGCAATAACCATTACGGCTCATGTCTAATGTTTTAAGCCTTTTTATATTGTCCTCAATGAAAACGGTTTTATTCTGCCTCCTTTATGTAAAACCTGTATAAGGCTTGATGCACACAAGCTTTTGTTTTTTAAAGCTCAAAAATACTGGATAAAACAAGCCGGCAATAGCATTTTTAGTAGTGTTTTAGGAGCATTAGTATTTCATTGGTGTTTTTTACAGTATATGTGGGGGGGAGCTAGGAAAAAAAGCTGGTAGAAGCATTTTTTTTCTGTTGGAAAAACGATTCCAAAAACTCTACAAAAAACAAGAAGCCTAAAATAGTGTATATGGACACATAGGATAACATTATTTGTCCTCATGCACACAGGGCATTTTTGCAGCCACTTCTAGGGGCGTCAGGCTTTTTTTTTTTTTTTTTTTTTTTTAACTGCTTCCAAACAGCCCTCCATGTTATCCTAAGTGTCCATGCACAGTCTTTTAGAAGCTTTTAATAGCAGTATCATTTACCAGCAGGAAAAGAAAAAAAAACAAAAAAAACAAAAAAAGAAAAACAGGGCCAGTGCATCCAGGAACAGCAGAGTTTTGGCAGACAAAACGCTTGACATGTATAAACGCGTCTAAACACATTTTAACATTAGGCACATTTAGCGCCTTATTAATTAATTTCAATGGCCAGGGTAAATTATTATTATGGCCGATGAAATGAATGAACGCCCAAGCGCTTGATACTTGTAAATGCACCTAAATGCTTGTAAAAGCATGAGACACTTTGACAAGCCTCAGACATTTTTGCTGACAAAACGCTGCGCCAAGAGGAGGAGCGTTATATTAAAATGTCCATTGAGGCCTTTAGCTTCAGAGAGCAGAAAAAAAAAATGCTAACCTTTTCTACCACCTTAAAAAAAAAAAAAAAAGCTAGTGTTCATGGAGCTTAAGGGAAGGAATATGCAGGCTGCCACTGCTGACTTCTTGTAAAAATGCTTCTAGTCTGTCTGTCATGCCAACTCCAGGTGGGCCTTCCCTCCCAGTTCCCCCCCCTTATACCTGTTTTAATAAAATATTAAAGTGTATGTATAGCCAAACCTTTTTTAACCACTTGCCCTCCTGAGGATTTACCCCCCTTAATGACCAGGCCTCTTTTTGCTACTCAGCGCTGCACTAATTCAACTGATAATTGCGCGGTCATGCAATGCTGCACCCAAATGAAATTGACGTCCTTTTTTTCACACAAATAGAGCTTTCTTTTGGTGGTATTTGATCACCTGTGCGCTTTTTATTTTTCACACTATAAACAAAAAAAGACCAAAAAAATTTTTGAAGAAAAGCGATATTTTTTACTTTCAGCTATAAAAAAATATATCGTAAACTCAAAGTTGGTTATAAATTTAGGCCAAAATGTATTCTGCTCCATGTTTTTGGTAAAAAAAATCCCAATAAGTGTATATTGATTGCTTTGTGTGAAATTTATAGTGTCTACAAACTATGGTATAGATACTGCAATTTACGCCATTTTTTTGCTATACAGCGCTGCGCTAGTTTAACGACAATTGCGCGGTCATGCAATACGGTACATACATGAAATTTACATCCTTTTTTTCCCACAAATTGAGTTTTCTTTAGGTTGTATTTGATCACCTGTGCGGTTTTTATTTTTTGCGCTATAAAAAAAAAAGCCTGACAATTTTGAGGAAAAAAAACAATATTTTGGACTTTTTGCTATAAAACATGTTCAGTATAAAAAAAATTTATAAATCAAAATTTAGTCATAAATGTCTGCCAAAATGCATTCTGCGACATGTCTTTGAAAAAAACCCAATACGTGTAAATTAATTGGTTTATGTGAAAGTTATAGTGTTTACAAATGGCGGGAAAGATACTGGGATTTTTAATTTTTTTTATACTAATAATGGTGGCGATCAGCGACTCATGGCGGGACTGCGGCGGACATTCTGACACTGGGGGGGAACTGACTTGGGGTCACTGACATCCCCAGTGACACCAATACAGTGATCAGTGCAAAAAAAGAAACACTGACACTGTACTAATGGCACTGGGGAGGAAAGGGTTAACTTTATAATTCAGTGAAAGGGTTAACTGTGTGAGGGGGTGTTTTACTAGGGGGAGGGGGTGTGTACTGCAGGGAACACCGCTGATCGGGACAGATAAACTCTTCTGTCCTGATCAGCGTGTCCTGGAGCTGTCAGGGAACTGACAAAAAGCACAGCTACTGCAGCTGTGCTCTCTGTCACTGATTGCCACTAATTGCTGGGACATAGCCAGTAATGACCGGCTGTGACCCGGCGACTGACATCCGCGGCCGTGATCGGCGGGACAGGTAGGGCGGCAGCGCGCCTCCCTACCTGTTTTAAAAACACATGTTTTAAAACGTGGTTTTGCCCAGCCGTGCCGCCCTGCCACCGTATTTCTACAGTGGCTGGGCGGCAAGTGGTTAAAAGCTCTGTTTTTACTGTGTGTACTACTGGGGAAATTTTACTTGACTTCCCAGAGATACAACACAAAGTCAGAGGAAATCTAACAAAATAAGGAAGAACTTCCCATACTCACACTAGAATTCCCAGAATTCCACTTTAAACCTCATGGAGCACACACGCTCCAGGGTGCATCAGCTTCAACACAGCAGCCAGAGGGGAACAAACCTGGCGAGATGCCATCAAGGGGTCAGCTGCCTGAACAAGGAAGAGACAACTGGCTTCCAATGACGTCTGAAAGAAACATGGCAGAGTAGGACCTGATGTAGCAGGAACTGGTGGGAGCAGTTCGCAGGATCACAATACTGCCAACGCTGCATTAGCTGTACATAGGAGATGTATCTGAGGATAACCCAGCGGACAATGTAAAAGGGGAAAGTAAAGTTCCTCTTTAACCACTGGAGTATGAGCCTGTAATACCCCTTCATTACTGTGAAAATTTTCCGTGCTGCGCTAGTTTTACTTACAATTGCTCGGTTATGCAACACAGTACCCAAATAAATATTCTATATTTTTTTTAGGACAGATAGCAATGCTAGTTGAGAACTGCTATTTTTTTTTTTACTATAAAGAAAAAAAAAAAAAAGACCAAAACATTAAAGCAGATCTACACTGAATCTGAGCACCACAAACCATAAATGCTATTTAATTCATTTTTAATATTCAAAGCAAATTCCTCCATCCATTCAAATCTCCTTGCTTTATTTTGCCGAGAAATCACTTTTAAAAAAAAACGCCCCCTAGCATTTCTGGCTGTGGCCATCTTGAGTAAGAGCAGATGATTCATGTAGCATTTACTTCTTGGAATCCATCTGCCCTTAAGCTAAGGTATGTAGGTAGGATATGCTTCGCTGACAGAACCCCTCTTCCCATCCTAAAGGCTCCTGGAATGTATGACATTTGGATAGGCCTGGAAACCAGGAACTAGCTAAAGAAATAAAAGAAAAAAAAACATTTAAAACAAGTAAATGTGATATACTTTCCTACCTACTTGCTGATGCTAGCAGCAGGATTAAAAATAGTCTAAAACTAAGTGAGTGAAATTCCACTTAAAAAAAAATATATATAACCTGTCTTCCTTACTGTTAATAAGGATTCCAGGACAGTACAAACCCCCCAAAATTACCTTTTTGCAAAGCAGACACCCCAAGGTGATCTCATTTTATGCCACAATTTTTTGGAAGCTAGAAAACATGGTGGAATTGAGGGGGTTAAACACGGAGCTTGGTAGTGGTGTATTAGATGCATTAAATGGACAGATCATACAGAGAGAAAGGAGGATGTAAAGGGGTTACTGGTCACATACAGTGGCAGGATAGAGATGAAGAGATTAATGTACAGAATAAGCGAGTTGATATGTTAAGCCGGTCATAGAAGGATTAATCTGATCCATAATCTGATCCAAGTCGAGTACAACTAGTATGTCGAATTACCAGCTGCACTTGTGCCTCGAATCAGCAGATCCATTCATTCTGTCCCCAATGCAAGAGGAAGGAGAGGAATCAACACTGTAAACAGAACCATGTGACTGCTCTTGATTAGAATGGGTCTGCTTTGTCTGGCTATGAGCTAGGGAGGCAGAACCTCCACAGTGTCTGTGCCCCCTTTGAGTTGGCCGCCCCATGGGTGATCCTAGTAGCACTTGGGCTTTGGAAACCCACAGTGTGAAAAGGCACATGGCCACGTCTCTATGTTTCTCTGCATAGTGCCTCCTGGGCTAGGCCCTATTGTCTGGGTCAGTTTTTGTTACCAGGCCACAGGGCCTAGCCATTACAACTATTCATTTTCTTTCCTCACCGTTGTCACTTTGCACTTTTGTCTGTTTCTTTTTTCAGCAGAATGGAGGGTGTGCGTCCTCGGGCACGTCCTAAAGTCTAGGGGGAGAATGTTTGGCCATCCAGTTCCTTCCTTCTGCTGGGCTGTGGATTGTGTGAGAGGGGCTGGCTCAGTCTCCCAGCGGATCGTGGAGAGGCTGAGCCAGGAGTGGTCCAGGGATCTGGGTAGATCCGGACTTTAAGGTCAGGATCTTTCCCCAGCCTGGACCAGCTGAGTGACATCAATGAACTTTAGCCCACTGTCGGCTGAAAACGGGTCACAGGAGTGCAGATCAAACTGCACTCCTGTGATCCGCAGAAGTACAGCCAAATAAGCTTTGGCTGTACTTCTTCAAAAGATAAGTTCACCTTTTAAAAAAAAATATAAATGCACATTTTTTGGCAGTAAAAAAAAAAAACACTTACGGATTTTTTTTTTTTTATGAAAGCTTGAAAAGCATTGCGTCAGCTATCGGTAGATCGTAGGGGCAATGCAGGTCTCCTGCAGACTGTCAGCGTAAGCTGTCTGCTCATATAGGTAAGCAATTTCACACTGACAGGAAGACTCAATGAACTACCACAGCATTCAACCACAACAGTGCCGTGATACTTCATTGAGAACATCTGCAAAGGATGTCAGCACTTGTAGTTGATTCATTCACAGAATGTTGTGACAAGTGACACACCCGTGTAGGTGCCCCGCACAGCCACGCTATTTTCAAAAAGTGACAACTGGTATAGGGAACTTCTCCCTGTCCCTCCACACAGGGTTCGGAGCCGCTGCCATCCCCAAAAAATTGGTGGAACGTAACATTTTCCCGAAAGTGAACCTATCCTTTAACCCCTTGACGCCGCCGCCTCCCGGCCCTTTAAGAGATTCTGACGCCGGGAGGCGGGGCGGTGGGGGCGTGGTTTAGGAATCACGTGACCGCCGTGATGACGCGTCACGGCGGTCACATGATCGGGAAAGGTCCTGTTCGAAAGAGCGGAGTGGGACCTTTCCGTGAGTACTACACGTGTGCTGGGAGCGCGCAGGGCGCGCGCTCTCAGCACATATGTATTTAGTTCCATGGACGCAAATGTGCGGCCGCTCGGCGTCTAGGCCCAGACGCCGGGAGGCCGCACATTTGCGTGCAGCCAGCGCAAAGGGGTTAAAGATGTACCCAGATGAAAAGGGGTTAGGCCAGCAATGGGCAAACTACGGCCCGGCGGACCTTTTAATCCGGCCCACAGAGCTAGGCTCCCGCTAGGCTCCTCTCAAAGTCCACCCTGAAGACCGGTGTAGCATGAAAATCTGTCTCCTATGAGGATCTGTCCCCCTCAACGTATGTGCGCATGTGCCGGAGATCGGCTGCTAATGCCTGAAACTGGCACATGCGCAGATACGTCGAGGGGGACAGATCCTCATAGGAGACAGATTTTCATGCTACACCGGAACGGCGCGGGAACACGGCGAGAGGAACGCGCGGAGCAAAGGTAAGTGAATTGACACAGGGGGGACTTGGGGACTTAATATGGGGAATGAATTACTATAGGGGGGATGAATTACTATAGGAGGGATGAATTACTATGGGGGATGAATTACTATATGGGGACGAATTACTATATGGGGGACGAATTACTATATGGGGGACGAATTACTATGCTTACTATGGGGGAATATTACTATACTTACTATGGATGACACATACACATCATTCATCTACTCTTGGTCCGGCCCCCGGGTCCAATATATGAACCCATTGCGGTCCTCAAGTCAAAAAGTTTGCCCACCCCTGGGTTAGGCCCTCACTTACACTACTGTAGTGAGACATCAGGGGTCACGTAAGCCACTCCAATTCATTTCAGTGAGCTGCCTTACATGTGAAAACATGACACCTTTTCCAGCTTTGTTCCTTCTTCGTGCTTTTGGGATGTCATTAAAGGGGAACTCAACTTTTTAGTATGCACACCTCCACCTTCCAGCAATGCAGTGCTTACATCTCTCTTTGGGTGCCACATTTTTGGCCTCTGGATTGGACAGCTGGAGATGACATCCTACGCATGCGCAGGGGAGCCAGTCATTCTGGCACAGCCGATGTGATCCGCGTAAGCACACTGGGAAGGGGGGGCTGCACATGTGCAAGTCAGTGTACATCCATTAAAAAGAAAATAAAACTGGTGAGCAGGCAGGTAAGTCTGTGTTACTGCAGAAAAAAAACAGTTTCTAAAAGTTTTTTTTCTAAAAGTTAGGTTTAGTCCACTTTAAAGCAGAACTAAACCCTTTGATTTAATGGTTTAAAAAAAAAAAAAATAGTTATATTCCCGGCATGCCGGGCATTAAACTGTCACATTTGCTCGTGTTCTCAACCAAACTGTCAATCCATTAAATGGCTGGTGTCATAACTGATCACATGTACATGGCAACTGCAGATCAAACAAAGGCTAAGATGGCAGCTTCCTTGACTGAAAAGGATAGAAGAGTTCAGTTCCACTTTAATCACTTCCATACCGGACACTTTTGCCCCCTTCCTGCCCAGCTGTCCAGGCCAATTTTCAGCTTTCAGCACTGTTGCACTTTGAATGACAATTGCGCGGTCATGCAACACTGTACCCAAATTAAATTTAGATCATTCTTCCACACAAATAGAGATTTCTTTTGGTGGTATTTAATCACTACTGAGGTTTTTTTTTATTTCATGCTAAACTAACAAAGACTGAAAACACCTTTTTCGTTTCGGTTATAAAATTTTGCAATTAAATAATCTCTCTTAAAACCTCAGATAAAAAATATGACAAAGCCATATCCCTCTATAGTGTGAACCTCTCAAATCTCAATTAGGAGCACTAAATGTCATTTCTGTCTGCTGCCTCATTCCTGTGCTATCAGCATGAATCGCTTCCAACAAGTTTTCCTGACACCAAGAGAAAAATGGAGACAGGGGAGAGACCTCCAACAGATTGACAGCCTCAGCTTTGTTCCTGTGTGCTGTAAGAAGGGGGTGTGTCCCTTCCCTCCAATCAGCTCTCAGAGCTCTCCTCACTGAGCTCTGCAGAGTGTAACTTCAGCTCTCTGCAACTTTTTTCCTAACAGCTCAGACAAGCTTTTTAAATTCTGCACTTTGAAAGGAAGTAGAGAAGAGATGTTTGCAGCTAAAACACACACAAGTTATGCAGCAGGATATATTTCACTCCAGTGTATCACGTGATCACTTCACTCAGTATATGTAAGGGTTTACAACCACTTTAACAAAAAAAAAGGCACCCAAGGGTAACACACTTTTTTTTCTGTGTGTTTTCAAAACACGTGTTCACAAAAACACTGCTGTAAACATGTGCTAAGCTAAACCATGCTGAATGGTGCTAACTGCAGCAGAGAAAATCCAGGTCTCCTGTCCTACCAGGCATGGCAGTATTGTGTGGCAGAGCTGTACAAATCTCAGGACTGGATGGACAGAAGTACAAAACCTCTACCCGGTGAACAGCTGTAATATATATAGGGTTTGGACAAAATTATGGCAACAACAGGTAAAAGAACAAAAACAAATCATTACCAAATATGGTTGTTGGACCACCTTTGGCATCCAAGACAGCCTTTATTCTCCTGGGAATTGACAAATATAAGTCTTAGAGGGTGGATAATGGAATCTGACACCACTCTTCATGCAAATATTGTTACAGTTCTTGCAGAGATGTTGAAGAGGAAAATGAGCCCTAACCTTTTCTCCAAAATTGACCATAATGGCTTTATGATATTGAGGTCCGGTGACTGTGGGGCCCAGGGAAGGTGTGAGACTGTCTGCATGCTCATCAAACCACGATTTAAAGACTGTGTGAATCGGAACATTATCGTCTTGGTAAATCACGCCATCTTTGGGAAACAATGGGGTTGATTTACTAAAGTGCTGTGCACTGCAAATGCACTCCAACTTGGAAGTGCACTAAAAGTGTAGTTGCTCTAGATCTGAGGGGAACATGCAAGGAAAATAAAACACATTTTTTTTGATTGAAGGAAATCAGCAGAGCTTCGCCTCATTTCAGAGCTTCCCCTTGGATATAAAGCAATTTCACTTGCAGTGCACAGCCTATTTGCCTTTAGTAAATCAACCCAATGTCTGCACCATGGTGGTCGACCAAAATTTGTACATAGCACACATGTGCTATAGCCAGAAGGTTTGCTGTGTCTCCCAGCACACTCAAGAGCATGGAGGAGATTCTAGTAGACAGTTACTCTAGAAGAGCAGGACAGGGCCGTAGAAGGTCCTTAACCCATCAGCAGGACCGGTATCTGCTCCTTTGTTCAAGGAGGAACAGGATGAGCACTGCCAGAGCCCTACAAAAAGACCTCCAGCAGGCCACTGGTGTGAATGTCTCTGACCAAACAATCAGAAACAGACTTCATGAGGGTGGCCTGAGGGCCTAATGCCCTTTAGTGGGCCCTGTGCTCACTGCCCGGCACCATAGAGCTTGATTGGCATTTGCTATTGAACACCAGAATTGGAAGGTCCGCCACTGACACCCTGACTGCCATTAGGTATCGGGATAAAATCCTTGGACCCATTGTCAGACCCTATGCTGGTGTAGTGGGTCCTGGGTTTCTCATGGTGCACAACAATGCCCGACCTCATGTGGTGAGAGTATGCAGGCAGTTCCTGGAGGATGAAGGAATTGATACCATTGAATGGCCCCCACACTCACCTGACCTGAATCCAATAGAACACCTCTGGGATATCATGTTTCAGTCCACCCAACTCCGCCAGGTTGCCCCTCAGACTGTCCAGGAGCTCAGTGATGCTCTGGTCCAGATCTGGGAGGAAATCCCCCAGGACATCATCCGTGGTCTCATTAGGAGTATGCCCCGACGTCTGAATGCAGACAAGCACATGGGGGGGGGGGGGCAGACAAGCACATGTGGGGGGGGGGGGCATACAGACTACTGAGGACCATTCTGAATGAAATTTCAGCAGGATGGACTCGCCTGCTGTATCATCTTTTCACTTTGATTTTTGTGGGGTCTTTGAATTCAGTCCTCTGTAGGTCGATCATTTCCAGCAAACAATGGGGAATCCTTACATTCCTAACACATTGCCTGTCCATATCAGTACAGAGATCCATCATGACATGTTCCCCCATTGAGATCTCATGTGTTTTCAGTGTTCCTTTCATTTTGTTGATCAGTGTATGTCATCAGAGCAGACAGACGTTTGTCTCGAGTTCTACAACTGTCAGCTTTGTATGTAGAGCACAACGTGTCGTCTCACTATCAGCTTCCCTTCCTATGTAAGTCATGTATAAGGTGCAGTCATTGTGTCATGCGCAGTAAAGGCTCTAGTCATACGGGTATGTTTGGCCGAGCAGCCCACCATCACAGGTAAAACCATAAAAGAACATGACCTGTCCGGTGTGGGTGACCTTCTCTCCGGCCTGGGACTGCAGAGCGCTGTGATGTCTCCAGCTTGGTGTACTCACACGTCCCACATTGCGGACCGCACAGCCCAGTGTGCCCCCATCCAGCCCTCTACCCACGACACCCCTGACATAAACACGACCCACGGCAATCCAGGAGGCCGCCATGTTTAATGTCACCTCGGCTCCCTGACCCAGGAAGTAGAAGGTGAAACACAGGCGCTGGGCTGTAGAATCAGCCAATGGAAAGAGAGAAAAGCGCATCACGTGTCCGCTATCATACACGGGAGCCGAGTGAAGTTGTCGGAGGGAGGCGGACGGTACATGTGAAGGTTGGTGGTGAATGTCACATTGGAGGTGGGTGAGGGGAGGCTTAGCTGGCGGTAGGTGGTCCTGTAACATAACCACACAGCAGAACGTTTACTGACTCTTCTATCCTGACTACCCAGGATGTCCCCCATACATTGGTCTGTGTTCTAGAAGGGAATTAAGGGGGAAGCATGGCAGAAACAGGTCCTATAGAACTACAGCACAAAGCTAAACCTGCTCATTGGGTATAGAGCAGGAGGGGGGTTGAGACCCCGGACAAGGTTCCTCTCATTGTGGACACTCTTTTTCCTGGGCCAAACAGGAAGTGAGGGAATCCCTGGTTGTCACCACAACCAGTGTCCCCATTGGAAGATTTCCCCTCTTATGCAGGCCATGGACGGGTTGAAAATTGCCTGATTTTCACACCACACCACACCTGATTTTCATTAGTGGGTTAATTGGTTTTTGGGGTTTTGGCACTTTTTTTTTTATTGGTAAAGTTGGAAAATAATCGCCAATTTTCCCGGCAATGATGAGCAAATCGGCCGATCGTTTTACAAATAAAAAATCTGCGCATGAGCCGTGACCTGCAAGAAGAAGAAGAATTCCAGTCCGCTGTTATATTTTATATGAAAAGTATTGCGGTTGCAACAATGTATCTATTTGTATCTGAATAAAAACATCTGTATCCGAAATAAATACAAATAGATACATTGTTGCAACCGCAATACCTTTTCATGTCAAATATAATAGCTGAGCTCTCTGCAGGGACAGAAGTAATTAAATGCCGGCTGTAGACGTGCCGAAAATAGGGTCATTTTTTTTTTTTCACCATTGGTGGTAACTTCGGCCTACTGAACGACCGATTTTTATTTTTTTTCTCTTGTCAGGAAAACTTGTCAGAAGTGACTCATGCAGATAGCAGAGGAATGAAGCAGCTGACAGAAATAAAACTTAGTGCTCTGGATTGAGACAAGTACACACCATAGAGGAATATGCTTTGTTCCTATTTCATGTCTGAGGTTTATAACCACTTTAAAGTGGTTGTAAAGGCTTAAAGCGGAACTAAACTGCCTCTGAACACAACACAACAAAGCAAAAGCACAATGTAATTTATTTTTAATATTCAAAGCAAACCAACCCATCCATCCCTGTCTCCATGCTTTATTTTGCTGAGAAATCACTTAAAAAAGCACCCTTCTAACATTTCTGGCAGTGGCCATCTTGAGTAAGGGCAGATGATTCATGTAGCATTTACTTCCAGGAATACATCTGCCCTTAGCTCAGGCATGCAGGCAGAAGAGTGTGCTTAGCTGAGAAAACGACTCCTGGGATGTATGACATCATTTGTCCAGGCCTGAAAACTAGGAAATGAAGAAATTAAAAAAAAAAAAAAAGTTTAAAACAAGTACATATAATATACCTATCTGTTTACTAATACTAGCAGCATAAGGATTCAAAATGGTCAATGTTGATTGAGAGAGGGAATTTTCGCTTTAAGGTTTTTTTTTTTTTTTTTTTTTTTGTTTTTTTTTTTTTTTTTTTTGTTTTTTTGTTTTTTGTTTTTTTTTGTACCTTCATGCATTCTATGCATGAAGGTAAAAAAAACGTGTGTGTAGCAGCTCCCCCCTAATACTTACTTGAGCCCCATTGCTATCCAGCAGTGTGCACACGAGCAACGACTCTCTCCCAGGACTTTCCCTCCTCATTGGCTGAGACAGCAACCAAAACCAATGGCTCCTGCTACTGTCAATCACAGCCAGTGAGCCAATGAGGAGAGAGAGCTGGGTACAGGGCCAGGCCACGCTCTGTGTGGGAATGGAAATGCAGAGCAGCATAATGGAAGAGAGCCTGCTTCGGTTCCTCATTGCAAAACTGCTTGCTATGGGGGCACACCGCAGGAGGGAGAGGCCAGGAGTGGCAGAGGCGGGTCTGAGAAGAGAAGGATCGGGGCTACTCTGTGCAAAACCACTGCACAGAACATGAAAGTTTTTAACATGTTTATTATTAAAAAAAAAAAATTGCCTTTTAATATTCTAATAACTTTCAATGGCGATAAAGTTATGGCTGATTGGTATATGAAGGCCTGCGGACAGCTGAGACTGTTCCAGGCCTGGTTACCAGGTAAGCTTGAGGCTTTCTCCCCCCTGATACTCTAAAATCTCCGGGTTCCAGGATCAGACTTCCTGCTTTCGCCATTGCAGACACAAACTCTGGACTCCCCTCAACATATACTATATTGCCAAAAGTATTGGGACACCCCCAAATCTTTGGATTTAGGTGGTCCAATCTCCTCCATGGCCACAGGTGTATAAAATCATCACCTAGGCATGCAGACTGCTTCTACAAACATTTGTGAAAGAATGGGTCACTTCAGGAGCTCAGTGAATTCAAGAGTGGTACCCTGATAGGTTTCCACCTGTGCAATAAGTCCATCCGTGAAATTTCCTTGTTATTAAATATTCCACGGTCAACTGTTAGTGGTATTATATCAAAAAGGAAGCAATTGGGAACAACCACAACTCCACCACGAAGTGGTAGGCCACGTAAAATGACAGAGCGGGGGTCAGCAAATGAAGTGCACAGTACGCATAAGTCTCCAACTGTCTGCAGAGTCAATAGTTAAAGACCTTCAAACTTCATGTGGCCTTCAGATTAGCACAACAACGGTGCAGAGAGATGCAGTGGTGTAAAGCAGTGTTTCTCACCCTTTTTTCAGTCAAGGCACCCTTTAAAATCATGGATCATCTCAAGGCACCCCAATCTAAAATGTAAAAAACTATTCTACACACATGCAGTACACCCAGCGTTAGAGGTGATTTATAATTGCAAAGCAAATACATCTTTGCACACTGGTACCGACTAGTATTCCTGTGTGTATCTCTCATTTTCTCTCCCTCACTCCGCTAATGTGACCCCAGTGCTCATGGAGAGGGGCAGGGGAGGGCCAAACAAGGATGACTTGCATGCACCCAACATCCTCCTTATCAACTGATGATGTCATTGGTTGTTAGGATGCAGGCAGCTAGAAGGTCATAAAAGTGCACAATGAAAACCTGTGGCTTTGCTTACTACAAGGCAGGATTGATCCACCTTCTGGCTTGTATGCAGTTTACCAAGGCATCCCTGAAGAAGCCTGAAGGCACCCTCTTTGAGAAAGGCTGGTGTAAAGCACGCCACCACTGGACTTTAGAGCCGTGAAGATCTGTTCTCTGGAGTGACAAATCTTGTTTCTCTGTCTGGCAAATCCAATGGATGTGTCTGGGTTAGGCAGTTGCCAGGAGAATGGCACATGCCTGACTGCATTGTGCCAAGTGTAAAGTTTGGTGGAGGGGGGATTATGATGTGGAGTTGTTTTTCAGGTGTTGGGATTGGCCCCTTAGTTCCAGTGAAGGGAACTCTTAAGGCGTCAGCATACCTAGACATTTTGGACAATTTCATACTCCCAACTTTGTGGGAACAGTTTGGGGATGCTCTTGTTCCAACATGACTGTGCACCAGTGCACAAAGCAAGGTCCATAAAGACATGGATGAGCAAGTGTGGGTTGGAGGAACTTGACTGACCTGTACAGAGTCCTGATCCCAACCTGATAGAACACCTTTGGGATGAATTAGAGTGGAGACTGTGAGCCAGGCCTTCTCATCTGACATCAGTGCCTGACCTCACAAATGTACTTCTGGAAGAATGGTCAAACATTCCCATAGACACATTCCTAAGCCTTGTGGACGGCCTTCCCAGAAGAGTTTAAGCTGTTATAGCTGCAAAGTGTGGGCCAACTCAATATTGAACCCTATGGACTAAGACTGGGATGCCATTATAGTTCATGTGCGTGTAAAGGCAGGCCGACCAATACTTTTGGCAATATAGTGTATGTTGTTGGTGAGAAACGTAAGTATGCATACACACAATCCACTATTTTCAGCTTATTCCCTATATGTTCCTCACATGGCACAGTGCTAAGATATGAGGAGTTGCAAAGAAGGGCAGCTGTGCGTAGAGGCTGAGCAAAAATTCATCTGACTGAGAGGAAGTGGCAACAAAACCAGTTGGGACGTTACTAGTCAATCTTATTAATGCAGTGATTGGTTCCCTCTGGAGAAGTATTATGTTCCTTCAGTGCTGTGCCTGAGAAGTATTACAATCATTCAGTGCTTTACCTGTTGCAAATAAAAAAAAAATGTAGTTCTGCTACATTTTTCTCTGTTAACCACCCTGTTTTTGTTTTGTATTTTTTATACACTGTTCAAAAAAAATTAAAGGAACACTTTTTAATCAGAGTATAACATCAAGTCAATTAAACATGATTAAAATTGATTTGGTCAGTTAGGTAGCAGAGGTAGCAGTTAGGTAGCAGAGGGGTTGTTAATCAGTTTCAGCTGCTTTCATTGAGACCATACCCAAAACAGGAATGGTTTTACAGGTGGAGGCCATTGACCCTTTTTTCCCTACTCCTCTTTTAGGACTGTTTTTCACTAGTTTTGCATTTGGCTAGGACAGTGTCACTATTGGTAGCATGAGGCGATACCTGGACCCTATAGAGGTTGCACAGGCTGTCCAACTCTTCATGATGGCACATCAATATGTGCCATTGCCAGAAGGTTTGCTGTGTCTCCCAGCACAGTGTCAAGAGCATGGAGGAGATTCCAGGAGACAGTTACTCTAGCAGAGCTGGACAGGGCCTTAGAAGGTCGTTAACCCATCAGCAGGACCGGTATCTGCTCCTTTGTGCAAGGAGGATCAGGATGAGCATTGCCAGAGCCCTACAAAATGACCTCCAGCAGGCCACTGGTGTGAATGTATCTGACCAAGCAATCAAACAGACTTCATGAGCCCAGTGCTCACTGCCTGGCACCATAGA